GTGTGTGTGTGTCGTGTGTGTCGTGTGTGTGTGTGTGTCTTGTGTGTGTGTGTGTGCGTGTCGTGTGTGTGTGTGTGTCGTGTGTGTCGTGTGTGTTGTGTGTGTGTGTGTTGTGTGTGTTGTGTGTGTGTGTTGTGTCTGTGTGTGTCGTGTGTGTGTGTGTGTCGTGTGTGTGTGTGTTGTGTGTGTGTGTGTTGTGTGTTTGTGTTGTGTGTGTGTGTGTGTGTCGTGTGTGTCGTGTGTGTCGTGTGTGTCGTGTGTGTTGTGTGTCGTGTGTGTGTGTTGTGTGTTGTGCGTGTGTGTGTGTGTTGTGTGTCTGTGTGTGTCGTTTGTGTGTGTGTGTGTGTGTGTCGTGTGTGTCGTGTGTGTCGTGTGTGTTGTGTGTGTGTGTGTGTGTTGTGTGTTGTGTGTGTGTGTTGTGTCTGTGTGTGTCGTTTGTTTGTGTGTGTGTGTGTCGCGTGTGTCGTGCGCGTCGCGTTTGTCGTGTGTGTGTGTGTGTCATGTGTGTGTGTGTGTGTCGTGCGTGCGTGCGTTCTGTGTGAATGTGTGTGGTGCTTGCGCTGTGTGGCGTATGTGTTGCGTGTGTGGGTGGTGTGTGTGTGTGTGTGTGTTCGTGTTGTGTTTGTATTTGTGTTTGTGTTTGTGTTTGTGTTTGTGTTTGCGCCTGTGTGCGGGTTCTTTCTCAGTGGGTTGACAGCTTGGTCTGCTGCTGAAGGGGCTGCCTTTCTTTCCCGTTTCCTTGACAAAAACATGCCGGCACATGCCACAGGCAACTGCGCCCATCATCCAAGAAAATTTCGGGAGCTACCATGCTTTCTGCAGTCCGCACCTAGTTACTGCCGTGTTTAAGAGGCACTGCCCCGTGCGATCTCAATAGGAGGCGACAGCACAGCACCGTACTACACCGCATCTGGACAAAGAGTCAACATGGGCAACCCCTACCAAAAGCGGCACATACAAAAAGCACAAGAAGGTGCCACTCACATCCTGCGGCGCCCGTCTTTCTTAGTCTTGACCAAATGGCCCCGGCGCCAACAACAAACCAAAATGTGAAAGTGCCATGCTAAGCCCAAAACAAGGTCCCTGGCCCTGCGCTCAAAAACAGAGGAGGATGCCCAAACTGAGATACGTAATCTCCGCCCGAACCTGTCAAAGCAGTCCCACCTCGCCATCGCCGTTATCAAGCATGTGGAACAAGGCCCCGCTTTCCTGAGAAGCGCTATCCCGATCGCAGTGCACAAAAAGGTCCCGCACGCACATTGCAGGTGTCCCGGAACACCAACACGTCATTGGCTAATCCACCCCGTGGCGCAATAATTCTGCACTAGTTTTGTTGGTTGTGTACCATCACCGCTTTCTCACAACCCTGTGGGCGTGACAAACCCAGAACTCACCCATAAGCATTTCCCGGGTCAGACCCAAAGCGCCGAGCGGCATGCACATCCACATCCAATGTCTGGAAGTAGGTTGAGACTAGGGGGTTGGACAGCATGTCTGTCAGCCGATCCTGCGGCACCACAAAAGGCTTGTTAAACATTCAGAGCACCCGCGGTCTGGGTACCACTTTCGGCGCTGACGCTACATTGTGAAGATAAGACACACTACCTGACCAAGACAGCACTGTACTCGTGACGACGCATTGCTCCTTAACAACGCGTTGCCCCGTGACGACGCATTCCCTGGCCACGCATGACACCTCTGCGCATTCTGACGACACACTCTCTGGCGGCGCATTACCTCCTACGCGTTCCCCGGCAACTTGGCAACACAATACCTCCGGACAACGCATTGCTCCCTGACAGCGAATTTGGACGACACCTTCCCTGGCGACGCAGTACATCCTGACGACGCGTGACGACGCATCGCCCCCCAACGACGCACTCTGGCGAGTCGTTCCCTGACGACGCGTTACCTGCAGACGACGACGCACTCTTGCGACAAGCTCTTCCGCTGGCCTTTGACAACGCATTCTCCGACAACACATGTCCTGACGACGCGCTGTGCCCTGACAAGACACATTGCGTCCTGAGGACACGTTCTGACGACGCGCTCTGACGACCAACTTACCTCCTGACAATGCACTCCCGCGGCGTTGCCTCCTGACGACGCAGTACTCCCGGACAACGCAAGTCGACCACCATTCCCTGACGGCGCAGAATTCTACCTCCTGACGGCGCATCGGTTGTTCTGACAAAACGCTCTCTGACGACACCCTTGACGACGCAGTGGCCTCTGGCGACAGATTTCCTGACGACCCGCCGCGTAGGTCAATATTAATAGTTGGTCCGCTAGCGCGGCGCCAAGGCGAGAGCAAGCGACAAGCACGATTTACACAGAAGGCTGGCCGGCAACCAGAACATAACTCGGCGGACCGTAAAAGTGCGTGAAAGTAGGCTGAAAGTAGGGTGAAAGTAGGGTGAAGTACGTTGAAAAACGTCGCTTGCAGTGAAACACGCCCCTGGAAAAAAGACAAGCGCAACCCATGCGATTCTCCTTTGCAAGCCGAAGGCGCTCAGCCAACACCATTCCCTCATACGACACACTGTCTCCCCATTCTGTTTCAGCAGCATGGTTCCGGGCCTTGGCTGGGGAAATACACGTTCAATTGTTGATTTTTGTTTCCCAGCGTTCTGCGACAGCATCAACGCAGCAAGACAAGTGAGGCTGACTGTGCGTATAGGATGGGTTTTAGGCTTGGCTGAGGGCTTGAGGTTTAGGGCGGGTTGTCTGGGGTGGGGTGGGCTGAAGGCGGGCTGGGACTAGGACGCGCCCAAGGTTGGCGCAACGTCGGCCTCGGGTGAGGTTAGGCTCGGCGCAGCAAGAAGCTAAATGCACCCAGCAAGCCAACTTGCGCCTTCCACCTCAGAGCACACTGGAAGTATCACAAGAAAGCCCACCTTCATACGCTTCTTAGCCGCTTTTTAAGGGTGGGGCAACATGCCAAACTTCCAAACATGCTTGTGGACACGCTGCTGCGGCTCGCGCTGAACGTCGCACCCCACCTCAGTGATCATGCCGTCCCCTGTGGCATCAATGGCCCGGAACACCGCCTCCAGCTTCTTCACATACTGTTTCCTCAAGCGCGTTCGGCGCCAAACAATCGCTCTAAGACATCATCCACTGCCAGCGGATGGACGCGTATTCCTGTGTCAAATCAAACCTTCGGCAGCGTTCTCGCCGCCTTGCCTTTTTAGGGTCCCGAAACCCACGGAACCCATTCTTATCTTGCTGGGTTGAACGCGCCAACCTAACTGGCTTGGTTTGTGACATGTTCAACTTGCCCGAAAGAATAATCCCGGAGGCTGCCTGTCATGACAGAAGTGGCCAAGGCCTACAAACACCCAGGGCGAATCAGGACAAGCGTGTCACTGAATGGCGGCGCAGCATGCTCAAGCAACGGCTTCCAGGGAACAAGGTTCAAACCATGTTGGCCTGAACGCCCCCAAACGACGCGCTGACTCAGAGCGCTGGACAAAACAAGCTTCCTCTCATCAAGCAAATTCTGTTTCAACCAAACCCCTGTGATAGAAACAAATGGTCTACGAACATGCGCGAACAACGAAAACGCGGAGTAGCATGGGATTCAGCTCAGCCCCTTTCCTGCCCTGCCGGGCGTCTTCTTCCTCAGGCGCTCCGCCACGAGGTGCTCTGCGTCGTTGTTGGCCGCGTCTATGGTGTCTTTGAGGAAAACAGCCGAGATCACGCGGATCATCATCATCATCATCTCTTTGTTTCGGCTGCATACAGCGCCACCGCTGCCGCAGCCCTCAGCCCCGCAGGCGCCAGCGCTAGGCAGCGCCTCCCGCATCAGCACGGTCAGCACCTGGGTCACCATGCCTAAGTCGCCAAACCGTACTGCACACCTCAGTAAGCCAGGTTCTCACGTCATTGATTACCTGTGCATTTTCTCCTTTGACAGCCCACCCCGTCCGACCGAGGAAGTGGCAATTCGGTTTCATTGGGGCCGTGCGAGGCCGATTTTCGCAAGACCACGCAAGGTGGTCGAAGTGTGGTGCATCGGCTCCACACCACGGGCAGGCTTCGCCCACGCCAGTGGCAGAAGCCATCCAAGCGGGTGACACGAAACACAACAGCGCGACCGTCCGCCCAGCCCCAACACCAAAGGCCCACTGTCGGACCGAGGCGAAGTCCAGTCGCCCGAATCGGCCCCACAGGTCAGGGATCTCCCTGAATGCTTGGGCCTCGTGCCGCGTGCTCCTTAGGAATTCACGAAACATGCTGGCTTTCCATCCGGCTCGTACATCATGCAGCGCTTTGTCCTTCCTGAGTGTAAGGTCGGATAAATTTAACCGCAGGTTCGTGAAGTGCTCCCATTTCCAAGGTTCAACCTCAGCGAAGCCGATTTTCCCCAGGGCGTTCCGAAGGGTGGCCACCGGGCTGCCAGCGAGACAGTCCCACCTGGTTCTAGACCTATCCGGATTGGCCATTACAGTCTAACCAGCCTAGTTGCCGTCTGGACCTGCAAGTGGCTGTTGCCACCAAGGACCAAAGCTCTAATGTATTTATTAGCAGCTTTGCATTTGCGATCTCCAGCTCGCACAGTGCTCCAGTGCTTTCCCCAGTCACCTTCATTGGGTAAGCGCCCAAGCCACCCGTAGGCAGCTTTGGGTGTGGCAAACATAGCAACGGCCCTGTGAAAAGTAGGAAAGGGGAGTCGTATGGCTGCGAGCAGCCGAAGTGTACTGAGGCAGCCTTGCAACCGCGCCTGTTCATCGCTCGTCTGAGCTCGCCGCCTGCATGCCGTGTAGGCACCGAGCACCCGGGCCGAATTTGCTAGGCAGGGCGCCAACGCCGAGTTCCGGATCCTATGATCCCTGTAAGCCGTAGTGGTAACGATAGCCGTTTTACTCCTGTTTTCGATAAGGCCAACCGATCCACTCCAGTCCTCCCAAGCGTTTTTCCTACGCAGCAGGGCTTCGGGGTGCCTGGCAGTCACATTTCTGTCATCCATGAAAAGCGTAGTGGTCGCCTGGGGAGTGTTTGGGGGCAAGCTGCCCTCAACATGTTCCAAACCAGAAGCCGTCCAGAGCATGCAAACCAAGGGTCCAAGGGGGTCACCCTGTGGGATTGCCGACGAGGTTGCGAGCGGTGCATGGTGCACAGTTCCTTGCCAAGAAACCCACCTGATTTGCTGGACCCAAACATGTTCACACATTTTACACCACCCATCAGGCAGACCGTGCCAAGCCATGAGGCGGGCACTAGGCATGGCACCAAATGTGTCAAAACATTTGCTCCAGTCCAGGCTCAAGGTGTAGCCCAAGCGGGCCAGGTCCTCTAAAACCTTGGCAGCAACCTGCTGCACATCATACCCACGTCTACCTGTGATTTCAGTGGGCAGCGTGGCCTGCAACCATTCCTGGAAGGCGCTTGAGGAAAGTCTAGCGCTATTCCACATTCGCCAGTGCACGTTAAGCACTGTGATGGGCCTAGTTTGTTGGACTTCCAACACTCCTCCCCGAGCTTTGCCAGGCTTAGGGAGGGAGACCGTTCTGGCCTCGTGCATCTGGCTTGGTGTCCTGCCAGCCTGTTCCCATCGCAAAGCTAGCATATGGAAGCACCTTAGCATTTCTTTGCTATGGTCGGATACCTCGGCACCACTCCATCCATCCGGTCCGGCAGACCCTTTTTGCTTCCTGGCAATTTTGACAAGCTCATCCACCGAGGGCTCAGGGAGCCCAGCATCCGGTCTAGGGGCCCGGCCTTGTGTGAGACGGTGAAGTATGACAGCATCGGCAGGTTTCGTTGCCTCTTGGTTCCTCCAGAAAGTGCTCCAATACCGGTGCACCTTTTGGGCTCCGTCACAGAGAGTTTCAGACACCCCTTGGTCATCTTCCAAGTGGTAGACCTGTTCAGTCTGTTTGGATTTAAGCCATCGACCGAGTGCTTTGACATCAGTACACATGCGATGTCGCCAAGCCCTGATCTTGTCCCTTTTTTCTTGGCTGGCCTTTGCATTGACCTCCTCCTGAAGCCTGTTCAGCTGGGTGACCAGTTCAGCAACAGTGGGCCGATCAAGCCCCAGCTTGAGGCACAGAGTTTGGTAGGCCTCGGACTCCCGCCCATTTTCCAGAAGGCACAGTCGTTTGACCTCTGTGGTCCTGGCCAACCTTTTCCTGAGCTTCCTAAGGGCGAAACCGGTACCGTCAAGTTCGGGTCCGCGGTGACTCCAGGGCACCCATCTGTGCTCGGCGCCTCCTCCCTTTCGGAGCTTTGCTTGGCGTAGTCGTTGGGCCGCGTCCTGAGTGGCCTCGGCGGGGTATGGCCCAGCGGCCACCTTCCTCAGGACTCCTATCATGCACTCATTAAGGAGTTTTTGGTACGCATTCCACTCAGCTTGGACATGAGGGTTAGGCGTTTCGAGGGCAGCCATAAAAACAGGCAGTCCTGGGAGATGTTCCCATTCCGTTTTTATCAGCGTTCTCCACTCGTCCTTGGTCAAGGCAGTGGGGCAAGTGAAGTCCGGGGTGGGCTTCAGGGTGCCCTTCCAGGTTTCCAGGGTCGCATGATTCCACCTCATGGATATGGGAACATGGTCGGAAACTTTATGCAGCAGGGCCACAGGTTTGCTGAATTGTCTGGGACGGGAGGTGACAAAGTAATCGATTTCCCGAGTTCCATGCCACCTAGTGGGCCTGTCAGCCTTCAGAACCTGTCCTCCACAGTGCCTAAGGTAAGCGGCCACATGGCCGTTGGCCCATTCTTCGTTAAAGTCAGCGCCCAGCACCCATGCCTGGGGGCCAACAGTGGTGTTCTGTTGACGCCACTCGTGTATCATTTCGCACAAGTCAGCCTGGGGTTCACGCATTTTGTCCGGGGGGGCATACCCACAAGCCACATGGATCCCTTCCACAGCAACGACCAGCAACTGGGCCCTGTTGAGACACCTGGAGTACACCGGCCTCTGCCGAAGTTTCTTGGGAACCAACATACTGACTCCTCCAGAGTACACCTGGTTTCCCCATCTGTCTTTCGTGACGGGTCCTCGCTGGCGATAAGCCAGAAAGCCAGATTGGCTAGCTTTGCGTTGGTACGAAGCCCACTCGGAATCACTCAGAGTGAATTCCTGAAGTAGCAGCACAGTGGCCTTGGCAGCTGAGGCCCATGCCTTGAGCGCGGCCCAGGCCCCATTTGCCCCACCTACATTGCAAGTGGTGAGCGCCACTCGTGGCGCCTCAGGCGAATGTGGCCCAGGGTTTTTTGCCTCCCCAACTCGCATGCCTTTATGGCCGCCCTGCCTGTGGTCGGCACGCTGCTGCCGGGTGGGTTTTTTGCCCTTTCCAAGCCCCTGCTTGACTTTGAGACGGGTCTCAACCTCGGTTTGGGTGACTCCCCAAAGGTTCAGCAGGAGTGAGCGGTTTTTTGGGCTTTTTCGGATGGTCATCCATCTTTTCCTGAGGGCAGAGCAGTTGCTCGCCTGCCGCACGCAGGGTGTCTGCCAGTCGCCGTTGCTAATGCGAAGGCAATTTCTGCAGGTCAGGAGTTGCTGGTTGGCCTCAGCTCCCTTGGTCGGCCAGGAGGCCCAGTGAGGTGTAAACCACACCAGTTTGTGGGTCGGGTGGGCGTCGCTCATAGCTTTTCCTTGGTTAAACCTCTTTTCGGCCTCCTCCATCGAGAGACCCCATATGCCAAGGAGCCTATTCACATTGGTGGCGGTGGCGGCTTTCAGCCGATTCCATTGCGCCCTTTGAGCGCCCGTGCAGTGCCCGAGTTTTCCTCGACAAGGAGAGTCCCATCCTGCGTTGCTGAGGCGAAGGCAGCTTGTGCAAGTGGTCAGTGTGCCAGTCCTTTGCGAGCTACCAGTCTGCCGGGCAGGCCAAGTCTTCCAGTCAGGCCACCAGATTTGGAGCTGGTGTCCTCCCTGCTGGTTGTCAAACTTGCTGTTCTCTCTGCTGAGTGCCTTAGCAAGTCGAGTCTTAGCTTCCGCTATGGCCGGTTGGGAACTAGCATTCTTTCGGAACTGCCGGTATCTGGCAGCATGCACAGCCGCAGTACTCGTGTCTCTCCTTGGGTGTTTGGTCTTGTAATGCCGGGTAATGGCAGTCTTCTTGGCATGCGTGGTCATCCCTTCAGGGAGTCCGGCGGGGCACCAAGGGCAAGACCAAGACCGGTTCGCTTGGGGTATGTGCGGGGCAGCCTCAAGGTGGTCGCACTTTTTCCTCATATTCCAAACAGGGGAGGTTTTGATTCCGGGGTGCCTACTGGTCAGGTGCCTGGAACGGCGGCGGCTAAGTTGAAGCCCAGTGGGACCGGAAATTCGGGTTTCGCAAAGAGGACAAGTCCAGAGCCCTTGCCCCTCTTCTCCAAGTCCTGCCTGGTCGTAGGTACGTTTCTTACTAGGGCCCGCGCTGGAACCTACGTCTGAGGTCCCAGCAGTGGGACTGCATTTGACAGAAAACGCTTTCGACCGTGAAGTGTCATCCACCCAGCCTTTGTGCGTTCGGCTTGCGCCGCCCGGGCGGCCCTTTGCAGGGCCCAGCGGATTTTCAAGTCCACCATTTTGCCATGAGTGCACTGAGGGCGTGGCATTGGTCATGGTTCCCTTGCTAAGCCCTTCTTTCTTAGAGGGGGAAACCCACGTGTGCACCGAAGGGGTCCCACTGCTTGTCCTCCCAAGGGTTTCGCCTTTCGCACTCCTCGAGCTGGTCTTTGCCTTAGACCTTGGTGTACTGGACTTTCCTCTATCTTTCCCTGCCCCAGCCAAGTTAATGACTGCCATTGGGGTCTCGCGGAGCCATGAGGATGGCACAGGTTCCTTGGCAGGCTTTTCCAACATGACATAGTGCTTGTTTTCAAGGAGAAGGATGAGGCTAACGCCTTCCTTTCCGGTGCAAGCCAATCCATTGGATCCAAAGCGAGCCGCAAGGGTGAACCGTTCCCACGTGTTCCCTTTTTGCTTCCAAATGACAACCGGGAGCCCAGTCTTTTCGGCAAGGGCTTGGGCAAAGGTCCCATTCGCCCAGGTAGTTTGTTTTTGAGCAACCGCCAACCATTGTTCAAAGGACTTGGGGCCATCAGGTTCAGCGTTAGGGTCAGGGGCCCAGGCTTGGGCGTATCTGTCCTTGTGCTTCCTAATGTGCTGCACCGTCCTAGCCCGAAGGGTGGCTCCCTCCGCCGTAGCTTGTTTTTCGGTGAGGCTAGTGCCTTCCTTAGCCGACCAAGCTTTTGAGGCTGCAGCGGCTCGGAAGAAACAGTCGCCGATGCCTCCAAGGTCGCCCGACCGGCAGTTTTTCCGCACCTGTCAGGGCTTCTTGTGCGACTTCTGTCCTCTCGCAGTTCCACGTCCTTTCGGGTCTGACTACGGCCTCGAGTGACCTTCGAATCGTTGGGAGCGGATCCGTCAGGTGAACACGAGTCGTTTTCAGCAGGTCGTTTTCTCGCCCGGGTGGGCCCCTGGACGGCCACGGTGGTAACGGATTTACTATTAATCTGGGTCTTGACATGCAAGGAGATGGTCCAAGGATTTTCATCTTGGATCTCGTAGCCCCAGGAGCTCTGGGATCTAAAGTTTTTTGGGGGAAGGGAGGTGACAACCCATTCCTTTTTTCTCTTAGAGACATGTTCCGGGGCGCTCCAACCTTGGCCAGTCATGAAGACGGTCAAATCATGTTCATCCCATTGTTTCGGGGCCCCTTGGACAGAGAGGCATTTCGGTCTTTCTTCCTTAGTGTCCCCAGGCTGGTGTGCAAACCCAAGGTCATTGCCTCCTCCGGCACGGTAGAGTATGGGCTGCTTGCGGTTTTTCTGAAGTGCCAGCACCCTACGGAAGTAGCTCTCTTTGGCCTCAGTCTTTTCGCCTCGCACCCAGTGAGGTGAGTCACCAGAACGGTCCCCGACTTTTGTGAAGAAGACCGCCTTGGTTCCGCTATGGGGTAGAATGGCTTCCCACACCTCAGGTCGGAGCCGAAGGTATCCAACCAGTTGTTCAGTGCCTGTGCCGCTTTGTTGGTGGCTCCAATTGCCACCAAGCAGATCACTGACTTTGATTTCAGCATGGGCGGCTACTGCCGCCACAACCTGATTTGGAGTGTCCTTAGTCTTTCCCTCATCCAGGAAAATTTTCCGGTAGTGGATTGGGGCAGTGAACCTAACCGCAACCTTAGTAGCTTGGGGTAGGGTCGTTTTCTCAACCTTAGTGAGCTGATTTATCCAGGGTCCCGCGGTCTCGCCGATGGACACAAGGGTCACGTCTTCAAGGCTTGGGCCTTGCTTGCCTTTGGTGAGGCTGAGTTTGGTGCGGCATCCGTTAGCGACAGTTTCGCCGCTTCTAAGGATAGCGGTAATTCCCCCAGGGTTCCCAAAGGAATCACACCAGGTGCGGAGGTCTTCCAACTCAGAGAGGTCACTGGCAACAACAACATTCCCGCTGAGCGTGTTTTGTTTCATGAGATCATCCCGGATCTTCCCAAGGGTGGTGAAGGCGGGGGCAGGGCTGCTCTTCCAGTCCAGCAGCCTAAGTCCAGTGATTTTGTGTGCCGCCTTATTCGGAAGGCAATCGGCCGGGGCGCTATGAAGGGAAACCTGTCTGTTATTTGACGCAGGGTCACCCGGGGAGAGACAAGGCCAGTCCTTATGGTCAAACCAAGTGTTTCTTTGGGGTGGCGCAACCCAGGCCTTAGCGTGAGCGCGGGTTTCCTGCTCACCAATCCAAGTCCACCAGCCAGTGTGGGGGTCGACCTGGTATTTCCTACCCTGCCATGATTGCAAGTGAGAGCCCGAAGGATTAACAGCGTTCCGCTGATCCGGGGGCCAAGGTGCACCTTGCTTCCGAACCTTAGTCTTTTTGGTCCTTTGGTGCTTCGCCTGATGCCTGATCACGCGGATCACCGCGAAGACAATTATCTGAAGCGCACAACCACATCCATTCCCTAAGCACACCTGCTGCACGTTAGCAGTTGGGGTGGGCACTGCATGTCTGGCCGTGTGATCAAGCAAAGGCGCAATTCCGACACCTCACCGGCTAGCCGAATCAAGTATGAGGCTATGAACAAGAAGGGCCTTCTGTTGGCGCTGCGCGGCAGCAAGACGCACGAAAGACGCGTAGTCCGCGAGCAAAGGTTCCTCAAACCAAGGCAACGCCAAGGTGCAGTAATGTAAAGAAGGAAGAAGATCACATAGACCTGGCTCACCTTTTCCAGCACTGGCCGTACGTTCGTTGGCCAGTTCCCTGCAAAGGTGATCCTTAGTCGCGCGCAAAATTTTCGACGCGCCGCCACACAGCAAGTCTTTGCGGGGTGGGCAACCAAGTCATTTGAGAAGGGGGGAAATAGGGGACCCGAAGAACACGTGCCCTACATGACAGAAACGCTTGAGGAGAAAACGGCATCAAGTATTCTGATTGTAAGGGGGCCAACTGTTCCACAAGACCTTGCACGCTTCGACCTCATCTTTGGCTGCGGTAACCTTTGCACGCCTGCACTTTCAGCTGCCATCGACCCATCCGCACTTTCAGCTGCCACCGACCCATGTGCCGCAGCATGCTCTAGCCCCAAACGCAGTTGGATTGACTCACCCCCCTTTTAGTACCAAAGCGCTTGTACGCACGTTGTGGGGTCAATACATTCACCGGGTTTGTGCGTTCCAGCATGCAACATGAGAGGGATGCGGCAAACCTGGATGGAAGCTGCCCGGTACCAAACATTCTGCTCCGAAAGGGTCTCTGTATTGTGTCTTCGGCTGTGTGAAACCGGTGTCCTACCTCGCTCTCAGAAAATGGAAAAGCGTCATATATTTGTCGAGGTGGCACCTCTGCTTGGTTGCACCGAGGGAAGCAAAGGATTCATTGTCATTGGCGTCAGTTGGTCATCTTGCAGCTGTGGGAATTCCACCTGCCGGAAATCGTTGCCGGAAATCGTTTCGAAGTCTGGCCACGATCTCCTTTGCCCCGTTGTCGCCACACATGAGAAGATCGTCAACGTAGTGAAAGAGCTCTATGAACTTGTCTTCCTCGAGCATTATTTCCTGAGACGGGGTCCATGAGATAGTCCACTGCTCCTTCTACATCGCGCGTGCTTCAGTTTCTTCTCAATAGTCATTTTTGGTTCACCGTCCCATAAAAGACAGACGTACATCGGCCTGCATGAGTGGGCCAATCCGCACGAGCGGAAAAATCTGCCATCTCCTCAGTGCGCCGTTGTGGCCGTAAGCGGGCTTCTTCATTCTCGCGCCAATGCGCGGTGGGTGTCCCATAAGCTTCTCCTTGAAGGAACCCACGTGAAAGACACTGCATCCATTATTGCGGCGGCCCGCGCTACAAGCCGAAACTGGTGTGTGGAGCGGCTGCTGGTTTGTTCTTCGGCTTTTGTTATTCATCCTTCTGCCGATCCTGGAAGCCTCAAAGAATTCATGTGGCTTTGGTCTTGGGAAGACTGCCCTCTTTCTCTGGTTTGATTGTAAGGACCCATTTTCCTGCACCCAAAAACGGACCTCGAGTTTGCCTAATAATGTCCAAAAGGTTAAAGTGAAAGAATTAATTGCCCAACCCGGCCTTGCGCTCGAGCAGCTTGGTCTCTACGAACTGCTTGTTATACGCCCTGGTCTCGGACACTGTTGCTTCCTTCCTCTTCTTTCCAACAAGGGTAGATGTAGTAGAAGCCTTCAGGGATTCTTGTCACGAGGAATAGAGTACCAAGATGGCTCGGGCTTCTTCGGTCACGTTCCTGGAACGATATGAGTGTTGCCCTTGTTCCTTACGTTTGCGAGAACATCCGCATTTGGGATCAGGCCGGAAAGAGCTTCTCACTTAAGATAGGAACAGGTTCTGATCCAGTAGCACTTCAGCAAGGACGAGATCGGCAGGTCAGAACCGTCAGCGATGTGGGGTCTTGCACCATCTTCGTCAAGATACCGTCTGGCCCTCTGGAACTGTCAGGCGTCGCTTGATGATGTGGGCACGTGTGGGAGATGACTGGGTGAATCATGATCATCTCGGTTGTCACCGAATTTCTGCTTTTTCAAGATTGGCGCTGCTTCTTCTTTGTAGGCCCCGTTGTGAACAAGGCCGCGGGGGCACAATGACAGCTGGGCGCGCCGGCGACAGAACGTCACCCCCCAATCTAGCTGAGCAGGTGTGGCATGCAGTTGCCCCTTGGCATGGTTGGCACTGCTGTCAGAAATGGTTGTCCGAATACCCAAGCCTGCCAAACCGGATTCAGAAAGATAGAACGATTCAGGAAAGGCACATGTTGGCAAACCAGTACGTATCCCGTTGACAAAGAGCTTCCATCAATGCCCATTAGCAAGCACGGAATTGTGGCAACAAAAAACATAAGCTGGCCTGGAACCCTCTCGAACCCCCTAGAACCCTCCACAACCCTCACTGAAAGCCCCAAGCCAGCCCATCTGGGCAGAGACCCCGTGGCTTTCAGCTGTTAGGGGAAAAACGAGAAGTTGTCGTGCAATCAAGCATGCTGGGGCTCGTGCTGCCAAGGATCTCATACAGAGTCCACGATGCACGATAGGCTGTGCCATATTTCATCCAGATCCACTCACGGTCAGTCTCATCTGCGTCGGGATTCAGGAGGAAATCCTTCCAAAGACAAGTAGGCAACTCATCCTGCTGACCTTGTGAGTCGATCCATCAAGTCAAAGGACGTCAAAACACACAACGCTCTACGCCAAGTAGTCAACGCAACCCTACCCTTCAGTCCCGCAAGACCCCAGCCGGATCGACACGAGGTTTCCCACCACCCTCATGTCCTGCAAGAGCGTCGCAAGAATCAACGCGCCCATAGACATGAAGACGCCCAGCAAGACCATGGACCAGCCCAAGGACGGCAGGAAGCACTGGCACGCCTTCCTGGGGCGCGGGCAGTCATAATGGGCCTGGTGGGGGCTGGTAGGCGGTTCGGGGCTGGTTGCAAGGCTGGGAACGCATCAAGCAACAGGTGCATTGCACCTTTAAACTAAAAAGCTTTAGCAACAACTGCGAATCTCAGGGAATACGAATAGCCTGAGCCCATCAACCAAAGATAAGCTGGTGCTTTGAGATGCACAGCAGCTGGTGCTCATGGCTGTCTCACAGACTCCCCGCCTACATGGGCCTTTGCATGAGATGAAGATGATCTAACCCTCGTGCGCCCGCTTTGCAAAGCAAACCGACGCCGAAAACATGCGGCCTCCTAGAAGCGCGGAGCTGTTCAACCCTGCTAGTTGCTTTGCAGAGGTGCGCGAAAGCTTCTTTGGCAGAAATATGACAGCACGGCTGAAACCAGAGGACGAAAGCACAACATGCTTCTGGTGTCAGCTTGGCAAGTAGTTGAGACATCGGCAAAATCTGTCTATCCTACTTCACCGGGCTTCAGTCAAACCAGCTCGGGCGATTGCAGTCCTTGATGCACAGAGTGCTTTTGCCGAGGAAGGGGTATTTGCATGGGTCAAGAATGTGCGAGGGCCTACGCGGAAAGCTGAAAGGTAGTTGAAAGAGGCCCTTGCAGAGCGAAACTGAATGCCACTTCGGGCAGTTCCTGCGTACATGCCTCGCCCTTAAGTACCACAAAGATCCGCAAAGTGAGAGCAACCCGCATTGGCCGGAAGCCTCGGACAAGGAAGCCAGTGAAACTGAATGAGTCTTTCACCTGTCCCCTGAACGCTGAGTTCAACCCGCTGAAGCTGACGCAACCTGTGGCCGGCTGAGTGCCAAAGGACCTTCTGCAGGCTTGGTGCTGGGGCCCCCCTTGGCCACCCATGCCGAGCGGCACCAGCACTCGGAGGCCTCGAAAGAGGCGCAAGGTCCTCAGGGCGAGAAGCGATCAATGGCTCGATGCGGCCTCAAGTCACGCATGTTTGCTACTGCGGATGGTTGCGAAATCCATTTCGCACCACCTAAGAAACCCTGGAATGTTGATCCCCTGTAAATACCAACCAACCATGGTTTCAGCCATAGTTTCCAAGTGGTGCGAAATGGATTTTGTCCATCCACAGTACGTCTTCTGAAAAAAGTCGGGGGCTGTTTCCACAGCATGCAAGCATTTGAGGGGC